CCACCCGATGCAGGGCTCGAAATCATGAACTGTGAGATCATGACCTGAGCTGAAGTTGGATGCTTAACCAACTGAGCCGCCCCAGCGCCCCATCCTATCTTTATTTTAAAATGTAAAATAGATTCTAAAATCTAGAGATAAATTTTATATTAATTTCTTTTAAATGTTTGAATTATTGAAGTTTTAGAAAAACCATGTCTCTGGCTCTTTCTGCAACAGTAATTTTGACACTGTTGATACCACTTTGTGAAACTTGGCTTTTTGAGGATTTCTTTGTTTTACATTTCAGATTGCTGAATGTTGATGGTCATTAAATGATATAAAGACAGGACTCACATAAAGAAAATGCAAGTTTTAAAAACTTAGGAGGAAATGCTGAGATTACTATTGTAGTGGGTGACAGATTTGTTTTAGGTTAGGGAATATTTCTTAAGTTTTAAAAAGTAAGTCCCTGATGTGAATCACAGTATAATATTTAAAGAAATGGATTGTTATTACTTTTCAAAATTTAGCTGTTTTGTCTACTTGCAAAAACAAACTAAAAAGTCTTAAATTATTTAACTTAAATTATTTATCTTAAATAAACTCGGAGTCTTAAACTAAATTATTGTCATTTTCTCTTTAGCAAGATGATCAACTTATCTGAACCAGATACAATTGATGAAAGAGCCATTAATAAGAAAAAGCTCACCCATTTCACTATTTCTGTAAGTATTTGTCCTTTGCTAGTAATCATGTTACTGTGCTGTAAAATGTAAGGCCTTTATTAATGGGTGGTTAGGCCCAGGTGAAACCTTTTTTTACTCCAGTTTTATTGAGAAATAATTGACATACATTACTGCGATGGCTTGACTTACATATATTGTGAAACGATTACCACAATAAGTTCAGCTAATATCCATCTTTTCATAGAGATACAATAAAAAGAAACAAGGACAAAAATTTTCTCCTTGCAATGAGAACTCAGAGGATCTACTCTCTTAAAAACTTTCCTGGATATCATACAGCAGTGCTAGCTATAGTCATCATGTTGTACATTACATCCCTAGTGCTTAACTATCTTATACCTGGAAGTTTGTACCTTTTGACCACCTTTCTCCAATTTTTCCTCCCCTCACACTTTGCCTCTGATAACTGCAAGTCTGATCTCTTTCTCTATGAATTTGGTATTTTTTGTTTTGTTTTGTTTTAGATTCCACATATAAGTGAGGTCATATAGTATTTGTCTTTCTCTGACTTATTTCACCTAACATAATGGGTTCAAGGTCCATTCATGTAAAATGTTTGATTTAACGTAATTTCAGTTTCCATAAAAACTAGGTTTTTATTAAATAAAATTCAGCTGCATTTTGTACTGAATGAAATTAAGATTCAAAGTGCTTTGAATGAACTTAAGGTAGTAGTATTCAAGTTATATAATGGTAATCATTCAGTTGTTTTTATTTATTTTTATTTTTTTAAGTTTATTTTTGAAAGAGAGAGAGAGTGCATGCACATGCATGTGAGCAGGGGAAGGGCAAAGAGACAGGAAGAGAGAGAATCCAAAGCAGGCTCTGTGCTGTCTGCACTATGGGCTCTACCCCAGAAACCCATGGATCCAAAATCAAGAGTTTGACACTTAACTGCCTGAGCCACCCAGATGCCCCGAGTTGCTTTTCTAATACAATTTTTTATTTTTTCTTTTTAATGTTTGTTTACTTATTTTTGAGAGAGAGAAAGCACACACAAGCAGGGGAGGGTCAGAGAGAGAGAGAGGGAAAGAGAGAAACCCAAGCAGCCTCCGTGCTGTCAGCGCAGAGCCTGACATGGGACTGGAACTCATGACCTGTGAGATCATGACCTGCACCAAAGTTGGACGCTTAACCGACTTAGCCACCCAAGTGCCCCCAAGTTGCTTTTATTAACAAATATTTGCTTGATACTGTTGTTCTTGGTTGAAATAAGAGTACTGTATAGTTTTACCACCTGTTTTACTATTTCACAGAATTTGGGTTATTCTTTTTTACTATATGTTCTGTAGTCAGCTTCTCCATTCAAGTCTTATTGAACTCAGGAATTTATAGTCACCACACTTTTCCCCTCAAAATCTCTAGAGCAGTGGTAGATATTAGTATTTACTAAGTACTTACTAGTTACCAGTCACTGTTCTAAACAAACTGATGAATTACCTCTTTGACTCTTCCCAGCACTCTTTTTTTTTTATTTTTTTTAAAAAAAAAATTTTTTTTTTTTCAACGTTTATTTATTTTTGGGACAGAGAGAGACAGAGCATGAACGGGGGAGGGGCAGAGAGAGAGGGAGACACAGAATCGGAAACAGGCTCCAGGCTCTGAGCCATCAGCCCAGAGCCTGACGCGGGGCTCGAACTCACGGACCGCGAGATCGTGACCTGGCTGAAGTCGGACGCTTAACCGACTGCGCCACCCAGGCGCCCCACTTCCCAGCACTCTTAAAATAAGATACCTACATTTTTATGGATGAGAAAATTGAGGTACTGAGAAATTACCCAGGATATGATCCCAGTGGTCTAGATCTAGAGCCCATCCTTATAATCACTATGGTATACTGCCACTCTTGTATCATGGTAGCAATAGCAACTAGTTAATACACTAGCCACAGCTGCAGCTATTAAAAGTGAGCTACTGCTAAGCTCTATCCTTCATTTCTATTGGCAAATACAATCCTTGATTCTGCTAAGGTTGTTTAGTCTCTTTTATGAGGAAGCTACAACCTTGGGGCAGTTGGTACATGGTTTATCTTGGACTATTAAGGGGTACTCCCATTTCCTGTTATCCTTGAGAAGAATTGACTGTTGACTAACATGGCTTTCTTGTCTCCCACTTTCCAATAAGCCAATAATATTGCATAATCCTGGCAGGAATTCTTCAAGAAGCCATTTCCAATTGCAGTTGCAAGAAGTTTATTTTCTTTCACACCTTGTGTCAGGATGCTTTGTTTAGTATCTAATGATTGCTGAAAATATTCATATATATCATAGAATACATGTGTCACATAATTTTTTATGGCACTGACCCTGAAATGCAGTGTTTCTCACTATTGTACAAATTTATTGTTTGGTTTTACTTTTAACATTTGTATGCTGTATGTTAAAGAAAATAAAAAATATTATCTAGCTATTTTGCAATAACTACAGGATGGGCCTGAGGCCCAAATCTTTTACAGTTTTATTTTTAGAGATAACATTCCAGGGGATAATAGTCTAGATTTTTAGGAGGCTTGAAAGAGTATTCCAAAATAGAATGGGAAAAGACAGATCTCTGAAAAGGAGCAAAGTGTTAATTTGGATATTAAATCTGTCATATTGAATCAGTAATTTTAGAGCTCTGGGAATAGATCTGCTGGGATACTACCAGTTTCCATGAAACTTTATCCCAAAGAAGCCTCATTCAATTTGTAAAGGACTGCAAAGTTGCGATAATCTAGTTTTTTACCTCATGATGATGGGTTTATGTAGTATTGTGATGTATGAAAGAAGAGAAATATGATAGGATGAAAATGACGTATAATATCTATGAGTGCAAGGGAGAGAGATTGAGTAGTAAAGAGACGGTTAAAACCATAGGTTTTTTTTTTTTTCTTGACTAGGGTATTTTGCTTTTGTAAATACTACGTATGTTTTAAAATCTGAATTTTCACAATCTATTGTTTCTAATTTACTTTCAAAACTAGTTGATAAGACTTGAAAAGTACTTTCTCACATGTATTTTTCCTTGCGGCAATTCAGGAAAATTTAAACCTGGCCTTGAATTCTGCCTCAGCCATTGGTTGCACAGTGGTCAACATTGGTGCACAGGATCTCAAAGAAGGAAAACCTCACCTGGTCTTGGGACTTCTCTGGCAGATCATCAAAGTTGGTCTTTTTGCCGATATTGAGATTTCCAGGAATGAAGGTAGAACCATAAAAAATATTTACTTTTCATTGACATCTACTTACTACGGGAAGAATTTATATTTCATTGTTTTCCTCTCAGCTCTAATTGCATTACTAAATGAGGGTGAGGATCTAGAAGAGCTGATGAAGCTTTCTCCAGAGGAATTATTGCTGCGATGGGTGAACTACCATCTGACCAATGCAGGATGGCGTACCATCAACAACTTCAGCAGTGACATTAAGGTTTATATTTTAATGCTCAACGTTGTGACATAAATAAGGACATAGAATGTAAAAACGCAAAAGGTGTTCAGACATAAACTTGAAGTGTAATTCATAACGACACAGTGTAGAAAATGAAAGTTTGTGTTTTTCTGTCTGAAGTGGAGCTCCCAATTATAATTGCAAAATCTTTTCTTTAAAAAAAAAATGAGTTTCAACTGATGGTTACCAGAAAGAAAGAGGATGGGGGAATGGGTGATGAGCACCAGGTGTTGTATGGAGGTTTAGGGTTGTTGTGTTGTTGTATACCTGAAAGTAGTATTAACTGTATGTTAACTAACTAGAATTTCAATAAAGTCTTAAAAAATAAAAAGGACAAAATACTCTTTTTGCAATAAAAAAAATTGGTTTATTGATATTTAAGAAGAAATACAACTAGCTGTGAGAAGGCACTGTGCTAGCAGATAAAGTACTTTCCTATTTCATATGCCACAGAAAGACTAAATTATAATGAAGATGTCAGTCTGTTAATTTGAACTAAAAATTCATCTGTTCACTGGACGAGAGGCCCTCGTGGACCTCTCCAGTCCAACACTCTTACTCCCACTTTGCCAATAACCAGCTAACAGGAGACCAAATATCTGAGGGCACAGGGAATCGGTAGACAAAAGGAATTCTTCAGGTATGTTTCTCAACCAAAGTAGCCTGCAATGCTTCCCTCCCTACTGGGAGAGCTTGTTGAGGAAACTGTAACATTCTGTATGCCTAACAGCTCTCCCATGGTCACTTCCCTGGCATGCATTGCCAAACTCGGTCCCTGTGACTCCTTCTTCTCTATATTTCCCACCCTCCAACCCCAGACTAATCAGCATTAGCATTTATTTGTATTTTCTGTAGATATATTAACACCTTCAATCAGATTATGTTTTTGTCATAATGGGCTTAGATGACAGTCTCTTTCTTTGAAATGACATTATATTTCTCTTTCATCTATTACATGCTCATTTAAAATATAATCACTTGGGGCACCTGGGTGGCTCAGTCGGTTAAGCGTCCGACTTCGGCTCAGGTCACGATCTCGCGGTCCCCGAGTTCGAGCGCCTCGTCGGGCTCTGGGCTGATGGCTCAGAGCCTGGAGCCTGCTTCCGATTCTGTGTTTCCCTCTCTCTCTTCCCCCCTCCCCCGTTCATGCTGTGTCTCTCTCTGTCTCAAAAATAAATAAACGTTAAAAAAAAATTTTTTTTTAAATAATAAAATAAAATAAAATTTAATCACTTGATTATAAAAGAGCTGATATTCTGTGAAAAAAATAAAATAAAATTTTATTTTAGGGGTGCTCTCTTATTTTAAAATTCAGTTCATCAGATATTTATTAAACCCCTCCCGTGGGGTATTCTGCAAGGCACAGGGGATACAAAGATTTAACTCTTGAGAAGCTTACCAGTTACACAGGCAGGTACACACTAGTAGATGGATGTTTCAGTTATCTATTGCTATATAATAAGCCACTCAAAATGTAATAGGTTAATTTTTATATTTATCGGTATACCCAGAAAACTTATTTTGGGATTTTGTTTTTACCTATAGGGAGTTTTTCCCCTGTTTCTCCTCAATGCCTTAATTAATAAATGAGTATGTCGACACTCTTAAGAAGCATTATTTGGAAATAGGGAATCTAGAAATAAACCCCAATGATGTCTAATATGATGCTCATAAAATTATATTATGTACTGTGTATCTTCCTTTCAAAAGGTTAGGATGATACAGAAGCCCAAAGGTCTACTGCAGAAATAAATGAATTCACTTTACCCTTAAAAAAGAAAACTTAACAGCTTAAAATAATATTGTTTTTCATGATTCTGTGGGTTCATGCAGCTTGGTTGAGTGGTTCTACTTCAGATGGTTTTGGTTGGGATCACTAACTCATTGGCATTCAGCTGTCAGTTGGACTGGTCTGGAGGGTGCACGAGGCCACCACTCACATGTGTAGTGCTTCACTGTGTCTCCATGAGGCCTTTCCACATGGCTAGACTGGGCTTCCTCACAGTCTGATAGTCTCAGATGGTTGGGACTTCCTACATGGAGGCTAACTTCAAGAGGGAGGAAGCAGAAGCTGTTAAGGCTTGAGCTTGGAAACCCCAGAATATCACTTTCACTGCATTCTGTTGTTCAGAACAAGTTACAAGGCAGTTCTGAGTTTATTGGCTTGGAGGGTTAATGGCTGGAGGGTTCCAGAAGATAATGCTTGACCCTAATCTTAACCAATGCTGATGCTTCAGAGCGTAAACACATGAAAAAGTGAGGAAGGATATTCCAAGTATAGGGAACAGTGTTGCTAGAAGCTTTGAGGTGCAAAACAGCATAGTGTATTCAGGAGCCTATATAAGTTTATAAGTAAAGTTACAAAGTTATTCCATTCTTCAAGATGAGGACAGTTTCTTCAGTTTGAGTACTGTTTTCCTAAATCAAATGATGTTTTTATTCATTTTAAAAGTTCTATTTCATTTCTTCCCTTGAAGGATTCAAGAGCCTATTTTCATCTGCTTAATCAGATTGCACCTAAAGGTGACCGGGATGATGGACCTGCCATTACTATTGATCTTTCAGGATTTAATGTAAGTACAGTTTTTGATTAAAATTTTTATTTCGATAAAATATACATAACAACATTTACCATTTTAACCATTTTAAATGTACATTTCTTTTTTAAAATTTTTTTTTTCAACTTTTATTTTATTTTTGGGACAGAGAGAGACAGAGCATGAGCGGGGGAGGGGCAGAGAGAGAGGGAGACACAGAATCGGAAACAGGCTCCAGGCTCTGAGCCATCAGCCCAGAGCCTGACGCGGGGCTCGAACCCACGGACCGCGAGATCGTGACCTGGCTGAAGTCGGACGCTTAACCGACTGCGCCACCCAGGCGCCCTTAAATGTACATTTCACTGGCATTAAGTACATTTGCATTGTGTACAGCCATCACCACTGTCCATCCCTGAAACTTTGATCATTCTATAGTGAAATCTGTATGCATTAAACAATAACTATTCCCTTCTCCCCCAAGTCCCTGGTAACCACTGTTCTACTTTCTATCTCTATGAATTTGACTAGTGAGTCCAGTCAAATTTAGAGTGTAATTTTCTATAGGCAGCATTCCCTGGTGGAGCCCTTAGCTCTTCATTAAACCTTGGCCCTTTGCTCTTCTCAAGTTTTTTCATGCCTTAGGCTTCACATCTCCATGCTAAGCCATCTGGCTGTCATAACTGACGAAAAAGAATTGAAGGATTCTAATCTTGAGTATGTGTGGAATCAACCCTACATCCACATTTTCCTGGTGCAACATAACCGGAACTCACCAGGGTGCTTTTGTGGCTATCACCGCGTCCTAGGAAAGGGAGCAACAAGCCATTATTAGATTGCTAAGTAACTGATTATCAGTTCTTTCAACTTCTGTTCAGAAATCTACAAAATAAAAGATGGCTGTTCTTAGTGTTTACAGTGTAGGGAGGACTGATGCAGATCCTGACTCATCTAACACATTTCCCAGGAATCCCATTTTTTAGCATAAGTTGTAAATACTGGGGATGGTTCTATCTAAATATTAAAATCGATAAGACTATAGTTTGTATGATGATCTGTTAAGTACTTTAAGTGCAACATCCATAATCGTTTTAAAGGCAAATTGAGCCATTACAAGTTAATCATACTTTACATTATTACAATAAAACATTTGAGAAAGTATTGCAAAACTGCAAAATTTACAAATTAGTTTGAGTAAAAAATTAGGAAATTAAAAAACCTATGGAAAATTTCAAACATAATAAAAATGAATAAACCCAATATAATGTGCTCATGCCCCAGGTTCAACAAGTATCAACTCATGGTCAATCTTCTTTTGTCTATCACCTATCCTTCCTCTCCCATGTTTTTTTGAATCAAATCCTGGACATCATATCATTTCATTGATAAGTATTTCAATATGTATTTCTTTTTTTTTTTTTAATTTTTTTTTTTAACGTTTATTTATTTTTGAGACAGAGAGAGACAGAGCATGAACGAGGGAGGGGCAGAGAGAGAGAGTGGCACAGAATCGGAAGCAGTCTCCAGGCTCAGAGCCATCAGCCCAGAGCCCTATGCGGGGCTCGAACTCGCGGACCGCGAGATAGTGACCTGAGCTGAAGTCGGACACTTAACCGACTGAGCCCCCCAGGCGCCCCTCAATATGTATTTCTAAAAGATAAAAAAAAAAACCTTTAAAGATATAACCATAATACCTTATCATACCTAAAACATTAACAATAATCTGTAATATTATCAAAATATTTAGTCAACACTGACATTTCCAATTGCCTCATAAATGTCAGATTTTCTTTTCATAGTTTATTTGGATCAAGATCTAAATAAGATCCACATACTATAATTTGTTCATGTCTACATTAGGAACTTTTTATTGTTGTTTAATAGCATTGAATCTATCACTTTCTCTGATTTTGTTTACATTTTTACTTTTTTGTAACTGGTGCACAGAATGAGGTAAAATTCTTGGTCATAATATACGCTCATCATGGACCCATTCATGTCCCTTTTTTTATTTATCTTCATTTGTAGTTGTTTGGTTTTTTTTTAATTTTTTTAATTTTTTTTTTCAACGTTTATTCATTTTTGGGACAGAGAGAGACAGAGCATGAACGGGGGAGGGGCAGAGAGAGAGGGAGACACAGAATCGGAAACAGGCTCCAGGCTCTGAGCCATCAGCCCAGAGCCCGACGCGGGGCTCGAACTCACGGACCGCGAGATCGTGACCTGGCTGAAGTCGGACGCTTAACCGACTGCGCCACCCAGGCGCCCCTGTAGTTGTTTGTTTTAAAATTAGAACAAGTCCGTCGGTATGAACCCTCAATCCAAGAAAGCTAAGACCTTGATATTAACTTACATTTAGCTCTATACTTCCCTATTCCATCTTTCTGCCTCACCTTAATATGATAATCACCATCTTGAATCTTATGTTCATTGTTCTTTTGCTTTTTTATATAGTTTTCTTTCAAACAAATATATTCCTTACAAAATTACCTTTTTCATTCATTTTACTTTTTAACTTCACATGAAATTTATTATCTTGTATTTAAATTACTAATCTTTATTTTGAACGTATTATATTGCTAAGAGTCACTCATATTGTTCTATATCACTGTGTACATATAACACAGTTTATTCATCTGCTTTCCTGTTGACAAGTATTTGGTTTGTTTCCAGGATGCTGTCCTTCTGATTTTAATATGATTTTATTTGTATCCCAGCTTGGTTTCATTGAGAAAAGAATTTATTGAAAATATTATTCAGGGTAGAATGGTTGAGACAACTAAGCCTCTTAGCCAAAAGGCACTCCAGTATATGGCCTTGACCAAATTATCAATAATTTGACCAGTAGGAGCTGTTTGATATGATATTTGAGAGTTTTGTTGAGTATTGCAGCAATGAGGGAGAAGTATTCCTCTGATCCCAGCAAGAAAACTCAAGAGAAATTGATTTAGAATTTCTGCACATTCTGACCTTATTTTGACCTATCATTTAATATATTTCCAGAAACGTGATTGCTTATAAATATGTATATCAGTAAACAATTATGCCAATCAAAAGTTTGACCATTTTTGTCTTATTTTGTTATTTAGGAGAAAAATGACCTGAAGCGTGCTGGATTCATGCTTCAAGAAGCAGATAAACTGGGCTGCAGACAGTTTGTTACTCCTGCAGATGTGGTTTCAGGCAATCCTAAACTTAATTTAGCTTTTGTAGCTAATCTGTTTAACACATACCCATGCCTCCATAAGCCCGATAATAATGACATCGATATGAATTTATTGGAAGGTATGTTCTTTTTGCCTTAAATTGCTTCACTGTATGTATCTTCTTGTGGTGTTGACCTGCTTCAGTGTCAGAGGTAGGGAATGATGGTGGGAGATGAAGTTTACTGTGTGTAGGCATGTGCATCCATTAAAACGTTCAAATAGGGAAAGTGGTTATTGGTTTTGGTTCAGAGAGAATGCTGGGGTAAATCTTACTTGTCTGTCATTTCTGCATAAGAGTTTAGTGAAAACTATCATACATTTAAAATAGTCTCTTAAATGACCACATAACTCCACCACCAATATGGACAATGAATTATCTATTGGAAAAAATAATCATTTTGTAGCTTTTTTTCTCCTTTGAAAGCTACAGTTTGACTCCAGTATTGTTCTCTTTTTAATGTTTTTAATGTACATGAAAAAATTTTAAATATTCATTACTTGTCGTGTGTGGGCTACTGTTATCTGTCTCATAATTTATAATACTTTCCTATTTTGCTTCATGAAATGCAGATTTGACCCCTCCTAATGTAGGTACTGTATTTAGTACTTTTCTATACTCTAAATGTATTCATTCTGAAATTCTTTGTATTAGTACTATTTATTCTTTCTATCTGAGTTGATATTTATTTTTTGCATTGTTCATGCTGTGTTTTTTCTCTCTTAATATGCCTAAAGAATGATGACAAGGAAGAAACACAAATGAAACTTACTTAGAATATCAGAGCAAGGTTTGATTATGTAAACTCTCCACCGAATTTGCCTTCTATATTATAGTTGTAAATACATTTAAAATCAGTTTTGACAATTGGATTTCATGATGTAAAGCCTTTATCCCTCTCCCGTGAATAAACAAACTTACCTTTCAACACAAGTAATCTTTGAAAGGATCTATTTAGGTTCTATAACATTTTTTTTTGGTATTATTTAGCTATGGTACATTTCTTGAATGTCATTGAAGCTTACAATATATGAATCATAACAACAAAAACATTCTCACCATCTAGTGCTTTGTCCCCATCTTTGTTTCCTAGCCTCTCTTCTCTTCTTCTCTCATCCTCACACTCTCACAGATACACCCAAACCCACAGTAGTATCAGAACTAAAGGTAAAAACAATGGCAGCATTCAGAGCTAGGGACTGATCCTAAAATATTCTCACTAGTTGCCCTGGTTTGGAGAAGGCAGTCTTCAAGTAGGGATTCTTGGCGGGGAGAATTCGATGTTGCAGTGCTCATTCTCTCAGGTCGCCCACCGTACTCCCTTCCCTCCCTGGGGAGATAGACTGAGAAATCAGTTTCATGTTCTTCTCTTTGACTGCCACAACCAGAGGTCCATTTCCTTGATGCTTTATAATTACATGTTTTTGATTAATGAAAAAAGTTTCAGATTTAATAAATATATTCTTTGAGGAATATGATTAATTCAGTTCACTCTTCCTGAGGTCCGTAAAATAAAGACTATATTCTTTACATAGATTTGTACTTGAGAGGGAGCATAGATAAAAGTGTAGATCTTTCAGCAGAGACATTTAGGGTGAGGGATTAGAACTTAAAAAAAAATTAAATAAAAAGGGAGACTGCTAAGTTTTTATCAGTCTGGAAAATTTCAAAATCCCTCTGTATCTTACAATAGAAGGCATTGTTTAGAGTGGCATATTAAATATGATCTGCTTTTTATAGTCACTGAATTCTTGCTAGATATCTTTTCCAACTTGCTCGCTCTCCTATTTGTCATGTTTGAATTCTTTTGCTAGTGTTCAGCATGCTTTTGGAATTTTTCAGTGTGAATAGGATTGCTAAATATTTCCATTAGTATTTACTCTATTTATATAAGAAGATACTATGGGAAATATTTATCAATCATCTTTATTTATAACATATGTATATCCTGATACATTTGCCAAAAATGTATGTAACTTTGACTGTCATTGGAATTTTTCCTCTATAAATTTTTTATAGATCCTTATGAAATTTGAAGCTTGACCTTATCACATCCCATATTCATATATTAGTATGTCCTCATTGGCAAAGAACTTTGTATGGAATTGAGAAAATTAAAAGCCCAACTAAATATAAAAACTTCACATTAAATTGAGCCAAATTCTGAATCTCAGAATCCATTGGTGGTGATAGAAAATATATAGGCCACTGAATTACACTTTGTTCTAACTATGGGTCCACCATTTAGTATCCGAGTGACTTCTGTCAGCCTTGGTTTTTTCATCTGTAAAAACAGATTAATAATACTAATTTTGAAGAATTACAGAGCAGGTTAAAATGACCTTTCATGAATGAAAGGGTTGAGCATACAATATGTGCTCAGTAATAGTCAGGTTGGGAAGAGGAAAACACTTAACATATCACTTAGCACATTTAGTGAGTGTTAAATATATGTTAGTTCCTTTTCTTTCCTCTTAGTAGTCTGCTTGTAATATATTATGTTTTTCTGAAACTTTTTCAATTGCAGATAAGTTTGACCCTGAAAATGAAATGTCTTATAGTTCTTTCTATCTTTTATATCAGCAATTAAGATTTTACTTCTAAGATTGCTTTAGTTGTCTGCAATACAGACAACCCTTACAATCTGGAATACATATGTTTTTGTAATGCTTTACCATGGCTCTTGCACAAATGCATAGTGCTTCTGGCTTTGAGCATTTATTTACCAAGACAACTGGAAATGGTATTAGATAAATAAATGCTCACATGTATAATCTATTTTACTTTCCAGGCATAAGAAATTAAAATAATAACTATAATTAGTAGAGAACAGTGGGAAGAAATACAAACCCCTGAAGCTTATGACAGTTTCAGCACTCAGTCAAAATATGAGTATCTTTTTAATATTATTTGCTGTATTATCAGGTTCAGCAGAGTTTGGATATTGTTTCAATTAAAAATTAGACTATTGTTACACTATCAATGTTTGTAATTTTAAAACAGAACTTGGATTTTCCTGGAAGGAAATAATGCAAAAATCCTCTAATTACTAGAAAGAAATCTATTATAGATTGTAATAAAGAAACAACTAAAAGGTAAATCCAAGTCACATGTATCAAACTGTTGATGATGGTATGTTTATATTTATGTCGCTTTAGGGAAAGTCTTGATACTTAATTTGCAGTTGTTTAATAACTCCTATAAGCAGGCAAGCATGGTGTCTGGGAATATTTAGTTTAACTTGGTTAACTTTTTAAAAAATTTTTCACATAGGTTATTTATCATAAAGTGATAGTGGCAGATACAACAGACTGGCCAGTTACCTTTTATGCAGGCCGAGAAAACAAAATTTAAGAAATTATATGGCTATATCATTTAATAGGGCAAGAATTAAAGTAGATTCTGGGAAAGCTGTTAGGTATTAATGTAGAAAATCAAATAAAAATACAGTGGACAGATTATTTCCTGAACAGCTGTCACAAAAAAGAACAAAAACCAAAAAAACAAAAAAACAACCCAGAATCCTTTAGAATTTACAAGGTTTGGTTGCTCTTCTAGGTATGCAGGTTTATACTATCTGTGGCACTTAGTCTGAAGATGACTACAGGGATGGCTCTACTGGAATGGGCCCTGAAGCTGAGACAGTTATAGATGTAGAATGCCAAATCATCCTGGGAATCCCACATGAGTCAAAGTCTGGAGAGTGACCTGAACTTGCCTATGGTTTAGAGGTGATGAGAGGTGTAAATGTTCTAGCTTTTCAGGAGTGATGAGATGTAGGTTAGACCATTGCATTGTCCCCTACCTTTGCTGAAAAGATATAATATTGCAGATAGTCACTTAGGACTGTTTGTAATCTAGGGGATGACTAGAGTGTAGACATGGCAGGGAGAGTCCATCTTGCTGTCTGCCCACTGTGTGGTACACTATAGCTCATGTTTTCCTTATAAATGGTATGAGCACTGCTATGAAGGGGATGATCAGGGAGGTTAGGTAATCACAGGTTAAATAACAGTGCCTGCTGGAGTTTCTTACTGAGGTGATCTTTGAGACCTAGGGACTTAATTGTGATGTCTTTGTCTTAGCACCCTGTGTGTGGGGCTGTGTCCCTCATGTAATTTCAGTAGTAACAATCTAAAATAACTCAGTAAGCCTGTAAAATAGTTATATCCCTTCATTGCTTATTTTTTTTATTTAATTTTTTATTTGAGAGAGAGCGAGCATGTGCCAGTGGGGGAGAGGGGCAGAGAGAGAGAGAGAGAGAGGGAGAGAGAGAATCTAAGCAGGCTCCACACTCAGCACAGGGTGTGATCCCATGACCTGAGCCGAAATCAAGTGTTGGATGCTCAACTGACTGAGCCACCCAGGATCCCGCTTCACTGCTTATTTTTATATTATCTGTAATTGCCTCTCCCCTTTATTGCTGTTTGCTGTGATGAAAATGTAGGTTTGTGTGTCCAGAAACTTCTCTGTGTAAAACCAAAACCTATACAAATTCGGAAACACTGCATTGGGAAAGGCATAGCTTTTGTTGCCTTGACTGCTATGTTGCCTTGACTGCTAAAAGATTTTGTTTCATTAATTTTTAGCCAATTCTTTTTGCATATAAAAACTACAGATATGACCATGTAAGTTTCTCTGTTACTTTCTGGACAGAGAAACCCATAACTCAGTAGTTCACAGACATCAAGTTAGGACTCTAGATAGAGAAATTTAGAGCAAATGGAAGTCTTCTAGACAGAGGGCAAAAAGGGACTTTGGCAATAAGAGGTTCCCCCTCCCCTAACTCCCAAGAAATTGTAGTATCACAGAAACCACAGCAAAATATGTATTGCTAGTTTGAACCTGCTGGGATGGTTTAAAACATATTCTTTGATGCCTTTTGTCCTGAATCATCAGTATGAAATTGTGTCTACTCTAGGAGAGAGCAAGGAAGAGAGGACATTTCGGAACTGGATGAATTCCTTGGGGGTCAACCCATATATTAATCATTTGTACAGGTAAATCTTTTATTGTGTTTAGCTTAATGGCCAGAGTCCAACTTTTCTAGTTTCAAACCACAGGTATGTTTACATTAGAACATTTTCTAAAGATCACGAGAATTTTAACCAACATTTAGAAATTCAGAATGCTAGGGATTGGCAATACGATGGATATTTAAGGAAAGTATTATTTTAAAAAGACCAGAATATGACAATATTAGTTATAATTTTTGATGACATAAGCAACCAACTTTACCTTTGGTAAAGATAATCCATCTTACTCTTTCATAATTACTGATGAGAAAAATAATAAATTGTTTCAGGGACGCCTATGTGTCTCAGTCAGTTAAGCATCCCACTCTTGATTTTAGCTCAGGTCATGATCTCACGGTTTGTGAGTTCCAGCCCCATATCGGGCTCCATGCTGACAGTGTGGGGTCTGTCTGGGATTCCCTCTCTCCCTCTCTCTTCTCTTGGCTTGTACTCTCTCTGTCTCAAAATAAATAAATAAACTTTAAAAGGAGAAAAATAATAAATTATTTCAACTGTAACAGAATAGTGATGTTTTACAAATTGTTCTTATCATTATATCAGTATTTTTAACTATAATTCACTTTCTATTTTTGCCAAAATCTACCTCAATTATTCTGTAATTTGTTGTGTATATTTTTATTTAATTTATAGAAATAACTTTTTATGAGTAATTGTAATTTATCTTGTCTTTTCTTGTTCAAAAATGACAACACATGATCAACATTGGTAGGACTAAAAAAATATTTTACAGAATCATTTCCCACACTCTCTGGTAGTGCTAACAATGTGTCTTTCTAGGTTTGGATAAGAGGAAACCTTTCTTCTTTCTTTATTATAGGATCTACCAGCCTGCCTTTAAAAACGCAAAAGAGGGTTGCCTGGGTGGCTCAGTTGGTTGAGCATCTGACTCTTGATTTTCGTTCAGGTCATGTGATCTCACAGTTTGTAGGATCGAGCCCCACATTGGGCTCCCTGCTGACAGCACAGAACCTGCTTGGGATTCTCTCTCCCATTCTCTCTGCTGCTCCCCTACTTGTTCTCTCTCTCTCTCTCTCTCTCAATAAATAAATAAACTTTAAAAAGTTGGTTCAGGAAAGCATCTTGAATTCTCTGGAAATCATTTCAAACTGTCTGGGCTTCAGTTTCCCTATTTGCAAAATATGAATAATGATACCATACTAAATAGAAATATGAATTAATTTAAAGTAAAAAAGAAAAATTCATGAAATAGAGGAGAGTCCAGAACCAATACAAATACTTTAGTAATTTATTTATTTTTAAAAAGCTTTTTTTTTTTTTTAATGTTTGTTTATTTTGAGAGAGAGTGTGAGCAGGGGAGGGGCAGAGAGAGAGAGGGAGAGAGAGAATCCCAAGCAGGCTGTGCATTGTCAGTGTAGAGACCAATGTGAGGCTCAAACTCATGAACCGTGAGATTATGACCTGAGCCAAAATCAAGAGTTGGTGCTTAACTGACTGAGCCAACCAGCTGCCCCTTTAGAAAATTTTTTTATACAAAATTTTCCGTGCGCTTTTATAAATAGCCCAGTCAGCTCTTAATTACCTTCATAATAGACTTTATTCTTCTATCATTCAGCACAGAGCCCAGTCCCCTTCATTGCCATAGGTGTGTGCTCAGAGTTGCAAAGTAAACTGTCATATGAATCTTAGCAAAACAACTCCGTGAACAAGCTGTTGAGGGAGAAAAGCCATGCAATACATCATAGAGCTAGCAATTTAAAAAAATCAATTGCTGTTGCTTTACATCCTTAGCATACAGAATTGAAAACAGACTCAACGGATATACTTTGAGCACTTCAGAAGAATGTGTTTTTCTGAATCCAAAATACTACTATTCTTACTTTAAGAACGCCTACTTGCTCATAAATTCTTTCCTCTTAACCTTCATTATTTAACGTGAACAGCTGCCTACTTTGTAGCTATTGCGATTTTTATGAATTTTTAAAAAGTTTTAAAAATCATATGTAAGTAATACATGCTCTTATTCTCACTGTATAAGTTTCAGGAAGTATGTATGTAGAATAAAATAAACATGATGATACTTTCTTTACATCTCCTCTATTCCTTTTTTCCTGCCCAGAGGTAATTGCTATTAACAGTCCATAGCACATATAGATACTTAAATACTCTCGATTTTGAAAATAAATTTTATACATAGTAAACTGCATGTAGTGTTCTGCCACTTGCTTTTTTGAATATAATATGTCTTGTAAAACTTTTCATGTCCGTACATAGAGATATACCTTATTTTTCATGGTGGTCCAGGAGTCAATAGTATGGATAGTTTATTCAACAGCCCGCTATTGCCAGGCATTTAAGTTGCTTCCAAACGTATGAATACTGTCGCAATGAATGTCTTTGTACATGTATCTTTGTAAACATTTAGAAAAAATTTTGGACAGATTCCTAGATTAGAAGTTCTGGGTTATATGATACATCCTGTCATTTTTTTTAAGCATTAAATGACCCTGTTGTATTTTTGAAGACCTAAGCCTGTCTCCATTGTGCTTAATAAAATTCCTCCTCCTTCATCATCTTTTCCTCTTGTTTTAGTGACCTTGCAGATGCTTTAGTGATCTTTCAGCTCTATGAAATGATCCGTGTGCCAGTCGACTGGAGCCATGTCAACAAACCTCCTTATCCTGCTCTTGGAGGGAACATGAAGAAGGTGAATGAGATAATCACCAAATATGTGTTATTATTGTTCTAATATAAACCAGAGGATTTGGAGTTTCATAAAGCTTGGTAATTTGTGGTCTGTCTCCATGACTCTGATTCAACCCAAAATGTGTTAAGCTTACTAGGCCTTTTATAAGTGTGCTTTAATAAATGTTTGGAAACATGAAGACAGTCCTCTCAGCCAGACACTTTTACTGTTTTTATCTTTAACAGGTTGTAGTACGTAATGTTCTTTGAGGTACATCATAAGTGCATTCCTGTTTTATAAACATCAGAACTTGCTAAATCTTTACTGGTTATTTTGTTAATATCTTTCAACAGATATTTATTGATTACCTACTACCTGTACAGTGCAGTGTAGGGTACAAAATAATACAAGGCATGGTCCTTAAGAAGCCTAAAAAATTAGATATGTGTGTAAACAACTACAATATAGTGCAGAATACATAGAAGTAAATATGAGTTCTAAGGAAGAAAAGGCCACAGGCCACGCTTATTATGAGAAGCTTCATGCAGGAGGTGTAATCTGAGATACGAGTTTGAGAAATGGATAGAATTTTGTGAGAAGGGGACTGGAGAGGGGCTGAGGATGAGGAAAAGGAATAGTGATGGGAAAATATAAAATGCGTTTCTGGGAATTGGGGAGAATAGGTTAGCTATAACAGAGGATTCCGATAGGTAAGAAGTATGAACGCTAAAAATTTTGATTGGAGCCAGATGTTGAGAACCTTGAGCTTGTGCTTTACACTAGAAACAATGGGAAGCGATTAAACATTTTTGGGCAGGACAGTGACTTGATTACAGTCGGTGGGAGACTATCAGTGGTAGATGAATGATAAAGAGAAGTGGTTGTCTTCCAGTATTCTTCCTCAAATAGGGGATGTGTGGTGTCCTTCATGTTCATGTCTGTCCTCTTGAATTGCTGCTTTAATATTCAACTTTAGTTTTGTTTTTGCTTTTCCTTTTTACCGTCTGTATCAGGATTATTTGCTTTCTAAAGTAAAATTTTGTAGGACTTTAAAATTTTTGTATTTTAACTTTATCCTTTAAAGTATGAATAATTTGAATACATAATACAAATTATGAACTCACATTGCTATAATTTATCAGTATGGCTATTTTGAAACTGATCTACATCCTCATGATTTAAAAACTATCTCTAGTTGAATAAATGGAAATATAACCATACTCCTGTATAGAAACATTAAATCTTATGAAGATAGTACATTTTTGCAAATTAATTTATAGGTGGAAAATAATTCCAGTTAGAATTCCATTAAGTCTCCTTTTGTGTATATATGGGCATATATACGTGTGTTGCAGTTTGGGATTGATAAAGTTATTCTAAAATTCCTGGGGCACCTGGGTGGCGCAGTTGGTTAAGCGTCCGACTTCAGCCAGGTCACGATCTCGCGGTCCGTGAGTTCGAGCCCCGTCGGGCTCTGGGCGGATGGCTCAGAGCCTGGAGCCTGTTTCCGATTCTGTGTCTCCCTCTCTCTCTGCCCCTCCCCCGTTCATGCTCTGTCTCTCTCTGTCCCAAAAAAATAAATAAACGTTGAAAAAATAAATAAATAAATAAATAAATAAAATTCCGATGGAAGAAGAAACAGGCCCAAAACATCAAGAACATTTTCTGAGAATATTGAGGCAGGAGGTGTTAGAAAAAATATATAATTTTATTATAAAGCTAAAATAATTGTAATAGTTTAATACATATATAAGAATGAAACGGAATAGAGTAGTCTAGAAACCTAAAATATAAGAAGTTAATATATGACAAGATTCTTGCTAAATTTGATAATAGGGAAAGGAAAGATCACCCAAAAAATGATGCCAGAACAACTGGTTAACTACTTTGTTAGGGGAAAAAGTGGTCTTCACCATTAACCAAACAGAATGCATTCCAAATGGATTAAGGTAAACAATTAAAGGATTAAATGTAATAAAAAAATGATTACTCTTGGAATGATTTAAAAAACTACAAAAAATTGATATAATAGATTACATATAAATTTAAAACATCTCTGTGCAAAAATAAACATCATAATTAAAAACAATAAACTTGGTAAATTATTTGCAACAACTATGGTAAGTAGTTAATATTCTTAACATGTAAGTAGTCCATACAAATTAATTACTGAAACTCAATTGCTATTACTAAAATTGTAATAGCAAAATGTGAACTTGAACAATGTGAATGAACAGTTCACAGAAAAAGAATGATGGATAATACACTTATGAAAACTTTGTACCTGCAATAAAGAAATGCAATTTCAGGGGCACCTGGGTAGCTCAGTCTAAACATCCGATTTCAGCTCAGGTCATGGTCCTGTAGGTCAGTGGGTTTGAGCCCCGAGTTGGACTCTGTGTTGACAGCTTAGAGCCTGGAGCCTGCTTCAGATTCTGTGTCTCCTTCTCTCTCTGCCCCTCCCCCGCTCATGCTCTGTCTCTCTCAAAAATAAACAGTTTTTAAAAATGCAATTCAAATAAACAATTGGATTACATTGTATCCAATATTAGAGAAAGTATTACATTTATGTAACTTTTCTAGAATCAGTTTGGTAATACTGATCGCTATCTCCAAAAAAGTCCTTTGACTTAATGGTGTCACTTCTTATTATCTTTTCTAATGAAATAATCAGTCAGACTAGAAGTTGTATACCAAATTGCTTATCTTAGCAATGTTTATAGAGGAAAAAAAAAACTAGAAAACCCATATGATGAAGTAAAATATACCATTAAAAAGTAGTAGTATTTTTTTAGTGTTTTAATAATAGTGACATGGAAATAAACAGGATACAAAATTGCATATATACATAGGAATCAAATTTGTTTAAAATACACACACACATTCAAAAAGGACTTCTATTCTTCAAATCTCTAGAATGAGTATGTATGTATAGACTTTATAATTAAATTATTTGTTAAAGGGACTATATCATAATAGTGAAGTAAATGGGTAGTGTAATTATAAGAGATTTATATTTATATTTTTCAGTATTTTTAGGGATTGGACCACCTACAGTTAACATGTTATTTGATTTGCCTGTAATTCTTTTGTGAGTAGAATTCAGAAAATTTTGTTAACTAATTTTATGTAATGTTTCAAAATCAAAATGTCAGATGCAAATTTTTTTTTTTCAACGTTTATTTATTTTGGGGACAGAGAGAGACAGAGCATGAACGGGCGAGGGGCAGAGAGAGAGGGAGACACAGAATCGGAAACAGGCTCCAGGCTCTGAGCCATCAGCCCAGAGCCCGACGCGGGGCTCGAACTCACGGACCGCGAGATCGTGACCTGGCTGAAGTCGGACGCTTAACCGACTGCGCCACCCAGGCGCCCCAACAAATTTTTTTTTTTAATTGAGGTATAGTTGACACACAATGTTACAGTAGTTTTAGGTGTACAACATAATGATTGGACAACTATACTATGCTCACCACAAGTATAATTGCCATCTATCACCATACAATGCTATTACAGTCCCATTATATTCCCTATACTGTATCTTTCATCCCGGTGACCAGTTCATTCCATAACAGGAAGCCTGTATTACCTACTCTCTTTAACCCTTTTTATCCATCCCCCTCCTCCCCTGTACAACCACCAGTTCTCTGTATTTATTTTGTTTTTGCATTTATTTTGTTTGTTTTTGCTCACTTGTTTTTTAGAGTCTAAATATATGTGAAATCATATTTGTCTTCTCTGGCTGACTTATTTCATTTAGCATAATACCCTCTAGGTCTGTCTATATTGTCGCAGAAGGCAAGATCTCATTCTTTTTTATGGCTAATATTCCATTGTATGTAGGTACCACATCTTCTTTGTACCATCTACTGATGGGCACTTCCATATCTTGGCTTTTGTAAATAATAACTGTAATAAACATAAGAGTGCATAGATCTTTTTGAATTGGTGTTTTCATTGTCTTTGTGTAAATACCAGTAATGGAATTATTGGATTGTATGGTGTTTATATTTTTAATATTTTGAAGACCCTCCATACTTATTTTCCACAGTGGCTGCACCTATTTACATTCCCACCGACTGTGTACAAACATTCCTTTTTTTCCACATCCTAACCAACACTTGTTATTTCCTGTCTTTTTCTTTTCTTTTCTTTTCTTTTTTTTTTTGGAATAGTTTGGGAAAAATAGGTATTACTCTTCTTTAAATGTTTGGTAAAATTCACCTGTGAATCCATCTGGTCCCGGACTTTTGTTTGTTGGGGGATTTTTGATTACTGATTTAATTTTATTACTACTAACTGATTTGTTCAGAATTCTTCCTGATTCAGTTTATATAAGATTGTATATTTCTAGGAATTTATCCATTTTTTCTAGGTTGTTCAATTTTTTGGCATATGATTTATGTAGTTGTCTCTTACAATCCTTTGTGTTTCTGTGGTGTCAGTTATTACTTCTCTTTCATTTCTGGCTTTATTTATTTGATTCCTCTCTCTTGAAGAGTCTGGATAAAGGTTTATCAATTGTGTATACCTTTTCAAAGACCAACTCTTGGTTTCTTTGATCTTTTCTATTTTTGTTTTTATTCTCTTATATCATTTATTTCTGTTCTGATATTTATTATTTTCATTCTTTCTATTAACTATGGTGTTTGTTCTTTTTCTAGTTTCTTTAGGAGTAAGCAGATGCAAAAATAACAGGAAAACAAACTACTCATTTTATCTGGAATTTGAAATAGGCGATGTCACAAGTGATTATGTAAAATTCTTCCTTTCACCATATACTAGCTATTTATAGAATGAAACATAACACCTGTAATAAATTTAAAATGTTTAAAAAATGAAGGAGTACCTACCCAGCAAAGTATCACAGAGTCTAATTTTATAGACTTTGGGCATTCATCAGCAGACATCACTTTACTTCATTTGTAAAGTTCATAAAGTTGTGCCACTTAGTCTTTTTTCGTTATTTTTTCAGTATTTCTTTTCACTTGGAACCCTGTATCCTATTGTGTAATTTTTCTCATTTTCCCAATGATCTAAGATTCATGTTTCTAAAGCATTTGCAGTGCTTGGTAATCATTTCTCCCCTTAACTCCATTAAACTGCACTCTCCAATTTTTTCTTGCTTTCTTTGTGTTTATTCTTACCTCTCACAGGTTCTTCATGTTTTAGCCTGACACCTCTGGAATTTCCAAGGCTCAGTTCTTGGCCCAGTGCTCTTAACTTTCTATATTTACATCCTCAGAGAGCAGATCCATTTTAAGAGTCTTTAGTAGTACCATAAACATAGGAAAGCTGCATTTCTTACTCTTTCTCTAGTTGGTACCTCTCCAGATCTTAGAGGTTTTGCCAATTTGGAATCAACTGTTGCCAAAAAATAGAACACATCTTTTCCCTAATGGTAGCATCCATTTCCAGGTAACCTTTCATTGTGGTCGAATCAACATGTTAGGCCTCTAGTAACCCTGAGCACCCTTCTCCCCATCATTTCCCTTAAGAATTTTGGTCAAACTAACTATAAAACAGACGGCCCGTCATTGAAACACATTTTACACCTAAGTGATTATTATTATAATTTGCTAGAAAATTCTCCCGATGAAACAGGTATCAGTGGCAAATATGTTGGTTTTTCTCTCTCCTGTTCACACTGTTACATAATCAGGACTTTGATGCTATTTTCTACAAATTAGGAATCTATTCAATTTCTTTTTAATTCTGTGCATTTCTGTAGGATACATTTCTTATTACGTAGACTGAATCTATAGTATAATATGATTATTAGGAAAAAGAATTGAAAATTATTGTCTCCTTGTATTTTAAAAAAATGCATACTCCTCAGAGCTCTGATATCTTCAGCTATAAAATGGGAATAGTTGTAAAATGGGAATAATAATTATTTCCTTAATTTCAGTGTTATTATGAAATGATATTCTGTCATATAAACTAAAGATATCTTCATAATTATTTTTCAGATAACTGAACAAGGCTAGCATATTCAAGAGATATAGTTTTAAAACCCGTTTTTATACTAAAACTTTTACTTATTATTTATAGATCGAAAACTGTAACTATGCAGTGGAGCTTGGGAAGAATAAGGCTAAATTCTCCTTGGTTGGCATTGCTGGGCAGGACCTAAATGAAGGGAATGCAACACTTACTCTGGCGTTGGTATGGCAGCTGATGAGAAGGTAAAAGCTGATATGTTTATAGCAACACTTTTTCCTTCAACAAGTCATATGAACTAGTATTTTATCTATTTTTGAAGAATAAAAAACAGGGGGGCCTGGGTAGTTCAGTCAAGTAAGTGGGTGGCTCAGGCGGTTAAGCAGCTGACTCTTGATTTCGGCTCAGGTCATGATGTCCTGGTTCATGAGATCCAGCCCGGCACTGGGCTCCGTACTAACAGCCTGGAGCCCACTTGGGATTCTCTCTCTACCTCTCCTTCTACCCCTCTCCCCCTCCGCATGTTTGCATGCTCTCTTTCTCTCAAAAATAAATAAACATTTTAAAAAAGAGTAACAAACAAGAAATATACAATGCAAAATATATTTTTAAATGACTTACTGTTGATAATATATTTTGTTTAAAAGTGGTTCAGTCTAGGAGCGCCTGTATGGTTCCATCTGTTAAAAGTGCAACTGTGGCTCAGGTCATGATTTCACGGTTTGTGGGCTCAAGCCCCACCTCGGGCTCTGTGCTGACAGCTCAGAGCCTCAAGTCTGCTTCCGTTTTTGTGTCTCCCTCTCTGCCCCTCCCCCCATCATGTTCTGTCTCTGTCTCTCTCTCTCAAAAATAAACATTAAAAAGTTTTTTTTAGGGGCACCTGGGTGGATCAGTAGGTTAAGCATCCGACTTCAGCTCAGGTCACGATCTCACGGTCTGTGAGTTCGAGCCCCGCGTCGGGCTCTGGGCTGATGGCTCAGAGCCTGGAGCCTGTTTCCGATTCTGTGTCTCCCTCTCTCTCTGCCCCTCCTCCGTTCATGCTCTGTCTCTCTCTGTCCCAAAAATAAATAAACGTTAAAAAAAAAATTTTTTTTTTAAAAAGTGTTTTTTAAATAAATAAAATGAAATAAAAGTGGGTCAATCTAGGGGTGCCTGGGTGGCTCAGTCGGTTAAGTGTGTGACTTCATCTCAGTTCATGATCTCGCAGTCTGTGGGTTCGAGTCCCACGTTGGGCTCTGTGCTGACAGCTCAGAGTTTGGAGCCTGCTTTGGTTTCTGTGCCTCCCTCTTTTCATGCCCCTGCCCCACTTAAGCTCTGTTTCTCTCTCTTTCTCTCTCAAAAATAAATAAATTAAAAAAAAATTATTTTTAAGTGGGTCAATCTCTAAAACTAATCACTTTTATTAATTCCTCTTAAAAACTGCTTTGTAAGGGGTTGTTTTTTAAAAAATACCATATGGTAGTTTTTGTTTCTGATTACTGAGCTTTGTAACTTTAGAATGTGACTAAGTGCAAATAGCAGAGTAAAATTAGAAATATTTATAAGAACCAAAATGTTTCTTAAATATTTAAATGTTGATATAAATGATGTGAGAGCAAATTTCACCTCTTTTCTCTCCCGTTTCACTGTCAAATGTACATCTTTTCTGTTATAGGTACACATTGAATGTGTTGTCAGATCTTGGAGAAGGTGAAAAAGTAAATGATGAAATTATTATTAAATGGGTCAATCAGACACTTAAAAGTGCAAAAAAACATACTTCTATTTCCAGCTTCAAGGTAATCAAAAGCTATTTAAAATTTTGTTTTTGTAAGAAATTAAGTGTAGGAAGGAATTTTTATTAGAAATTACATTGGTTTAGATTCAGAATTACATTAACATTATATCTCAGAAACACAATTTATGAACTTAGGCCTGCTAGTTATTTGGCATGTGTAAAGCAAAAGTATAGTTTGAACTCTTATGTTTTTGACTGGTTGTCGTATTGAGTATAAATGCAGATTAATATTATCAACTCTGGTCATCTAATCTTAAAAAAATAGAATAGAGCCAAAAAACCCAATTGTCAAATGAAAAAGAAAGATTAAAAAACCATTGTTTATATAGGACCTATAATGTTTTGTGCTCCCTAGCAGCAGTCTCAGAATTGTATTGACATCATTTCCAAGGCATAACAGAGCCAGCCAAACCGATTCAAGTGGGAATTGAGAAAACTGGTAGGAAAAAAAATATCTTGTTATCTGGCTTCATAATGGCACTTAACACTCACTTTTGAGCATTTGTGGATGATTCATAAATCACTTAAAACGTAATCTGTACATACACACCCACTAATTTTCATGCATTTCCATTGTGTTTCGCTTTTGCATGCAAGGTGATGTTATCTACAACTAAGCATGTCTGCTTGTACACATTCATTCAGTGAGCCTTGTGTTTGTGCTTTTATTATGTGAAAAATATGTGAAAAATCAGCAAATTTTTTTTAGTGATTAAAGTGCAAACAGATGAAACCCTAAGCTCTCCTAAGAGTTATCTATCCATCTTTAGTTTTTTCTTTGGCTTTGTTCTATATGCTTAACAACATTTTAGAGCAGAAAAAATTTCAGAAATTGATAAATTCAATTTTTACTAAATAGTGAGCCCCAAAGGGATTTTAACATGACAACTAGAATAAGTCAGAGATGTTACCTGAGTCCTAGTTCAAGTGTGTTTCTCTTTTTGCCATCTTGGAAGGAACTAATGACTTTGAGTTTTTGTTGTTGCTTGTTAAAAAAAAAAAAAAAAAAAACACAAGAATTTTCAGTCCATGATTTGTTTTTATATATTTTAGGCGTAAAATACAACTTAAAAATGTAAAACAGGAAAGGGGACGTATAAAATTCTCTAATTGATAGTTATCAAAGTTGTTGTAATGAAATTTTACACATTTGTACATTAGTTGATGAAAAATAATAAGCATGTATATAATTAAGTCAAATACAATAATAAAATATTTAGAAACAAATACTTATTAAGCTTTTACTATTAAGTAACATTTATAGGTAAAGAAAAAGATACAGAATATAAGAAATTAATTTGTCCCTCATAGTGTTCACCATTTATTTGAAGAAAAAAATTTTCATAATTGGCATTTTCATAACAAGCTAGAAGAAGGTCCATCTTGAATAAAGGCAAGTCAAAGGTTAGGAGAAATAGTTTGGCTGGAGAGGATGGTTCCTAAGGGAGTAGTGCTGGATATAGTCTGAGTCAAGATTGTGGGGGAGTCTGGCCTTAATAAAAGTGTGTTGGTATAAGGACTAATGTAAGAAAAGTGACTGTTTTTAGAAATACTCTTCTGAATGTGGTGGGCAGGATGGATTAGACTAAGAAAGCTGTAAATGCTAGGACAATGCCTAAGAAGCTGAAGCAGGTGTGAAATGATAAAAATCTGATTGGAGTTGAGGGTGGGCACTGGGAATGTTAAGAATAGATAGTTATTTGCTATTGCAAAAGAACAGGTAGGATTTGGCTTCTTGATTTGAGGAAGCACAGGGGAGAGAGGAGTTAAAACTTGATGTTTTAGGCCTGGGTAATTGAAAAACAGATAACAGTGACAAATGGGAATGTCAGGATGTACAGTTGCTTTCTGGAAAAGGTGATGAGTTCAATTTTAAGCTTGTTGAATTTGAAGTAATGTTCAGGAAATAAGCTGGATGAAAGGAAATATTAAAACTGGGAATACAGACTTGGTGATCAGTTGAATAGAAGAGATAGTTGAAAAATGTGAGTACACAGATCCTTTAAGGGAGAGAACTCACAATGAAAGGCAAACTTGAGAGTTGTACTTAGATCCGAAGTAACAGAAACATAATGCAAATGTGCTTGGCATTTATTTAGTAGATGCTCAATAATAAAATCTTTAAAGAGACTGTAGTTAAGAAATGTGGCAGCAAATGCTAAAAAATAGTTGGGGTGGGGAGGCTTTTTTTTTTTTCCAACTGTAGAAGACATTATATTTGAAGGCTACCATAAATGGTACTCATAAGAATCTATTAATTATAATCAAGGCAGTGCTATACTGAGAAATTTAGAAAAGACAAATTTACCCTTTTCAGTTGCAAAGTAATTTTCCCTCAGCAGGAAGATAAGGAAGTGTACGAGCACTGAGTAATACGTGGAATTATTGAATCACTATATTGCACACCTGAAACTAATATAACACTGTGTCAAACTACACTGGAATTAAAATAAAATACAAATAAAAGAAGATAAGTAAGTGGAATATCAGCCATAACAATAATCATAATTACCATTGAGTGCTCTATGTCACCATGCTAAGCACTTTACACAGTTTCTTTTAATTCTCTCAATAATTCTATAAGCAAAAAGGAGAACTTTATAAAAGTTAAACAACTTGCCCACGGTCATACAACTATTGAGCAGAAAAGCTGGATTTCATTTCCAGATCTAACTGCAGGTTGAAAGCCAGGCTTTAGAGTTGTATGACCCTGGATTTGACTTCAGCTCAGATACTTATTAGTTATGTGACACACTGCTCATTCATCTCATAAATATTCAAAGCTTACCCTGTAGTAGGTGCTTTGCTAGTCACTGTGACTACATAATGCCCTCAAAGTGCTCACTGTTCAGTAAAGAAAGCAGTAAGAAAACAGGAATCACTGTGTGGGGTGTCAGCAATACTATAAAAACCAGGGGAGTAAGGAGAACATGAGAGGGCATGTGTTTTGTAAAAACCTTAGTAGTTTATACTAACAGCTGGACTACACCTCTTGATGAATAAAATTGAATTTACTTCTGGCTCACCATTCAGTGTCTTTGTGACTGTGGGCAGGTTATTAATTTCTCTATTCCTCAGTTTCCCCATATTTAAAATGGAGATATTAATAATACCTATCTTCTGAGTTTGTGTCAGACTAAATAAGTTAACGAACATAAAGAGCTCAACAATACCTGGTACATATTAAGGGCTCAGTAAAAGGGTTTACTACACTACTGGTATGGCAATATATAAAGGGCATCATATGTGGAGAGTTTCCTGTTAAGCTATTTCGAGAACTCTGGCTGCCACATCACTGTGTTTGCACTTCTATTTTCAAGAATGACAGAAAGAACAATGGCATGCAATGTTCTAATAGTAATGTGTATCACATTAAGAGAAAGGGATGATACAATTCATTATCTTGAAAATCAAGCCAAACTCTAGGCTGTCTTTGAGAGTCTAGACATTTTTGCTTTTGTAATTTATTTATAATTAACTTAAGGAAAGATGATGAAAATGTACATGCTAAACTGAGGATTTTACTATAGGCCCTGTCCCCTTTGCAAAAGTAAAATGTCTTTTACTGATAATACACAGATCAGAAGAGTTGAAAGATAGGCCTGTTTTCTTGGAAATAGGAAGATAAGGGATCCAATATAACTCTTGAAACTTAAATCTTTCATTCAATTCAATAAAGTTTTCCCCATAAGGAAATAGATGAAAACATTGTTTCCGTACATCTAAGTGAAGAAATGTTTAAAATACCACAAAATAAAATAAAATAAAATACCACAAAATATTATATACTTTCAGCTATGAGTAAAGTCTGAGGATCTTATGTATTACATGGTGACTATAGTTAACACTATATAGTATAACTGAAATTTGCTAGAATAGAAATTAAATGTTTTTACAAAAAAAATACACACACACACACACACACATATATGTAGGTGATAGATGTGTTAATTAACTAATGGGAGTAATCCTTTCACAACATATAGGTATATCAAATATTCAGGATGTACACTTTAAATGTCTTACAATTTTATTTGGTAATTATACTTCAGTGAAGCTGAAAAAACAAAAGAACAAAATAATTTTCCCCAATCTTACAAAAAACCTCACACATCTGTAAATAACTAATCAAAATACAGCACAATTAAACCAATTGTCTGTTTTTGAATCATCATAGAAATATTATATGAAGAGGAAGTACACAGAAAATTAAAATTTATTATAGAATGACATAAATGTTAAGTTTAATTTTAGGAAGAATAATGGTGTACATTAGAGTCATCTAGAAATCGTATTAAAAATGTAGATTCCTAACCCCATCCACAGATAACCTGAGTCATTAATTTGAGTATAGCAATAAATTTGTGCTTTTAACAAGCGTGTCAGGTGGTTTTCATGTAGGTGGCCTGCAGACCACACATTGAGGCAAAAATAGGAAAAATTTTCAGAAATAAGGAAGATGCCAAAAAAACCAGATCCAGATTACCAGCATCAAATAGACTTAAGGACCCTAATTATTTTTACCCCTCTACTTCTATTCCCCGCCCCCAAAAAAATCTGTTTCACAAAACAGAACATTCCTGAAAGTAAACAATATAAATTTTTCTAAAATTAATAAATGTAGTGGCTCATAGATCAGGGCCCAAAAAAGTAGCCTTCTTCATATGGCTTCAAATGGTTTTTTTCAAAAAATTTATTAATTTGGCTAGGAACTATAGTAGATGCTTTCACTTATATTAATAGTCCCAAGAATCCTGTGACAGTCTCAGGGCGGCGATTAGGATGCTGCCTAGCAAACACCTAGCAAGCAACGGTGCTTGCTTTTGACTTCAGGTAACAGAAACCCACTTTAAAGTGGTTTAAACCAAAAGAAAAGGTACAGAGTAGCAGAAATCCAGAGGTATCGTAGATTTCAGGGTTGGTTGAGCCAGTATTTGAAGAATTTCATGTAGGACTGAGGTTTTTGTCCATCTCTGCTTTGCCATTTACAGTGCCAATTTCACCCAAAGCTGGTTTTCCACTTGGTTATAGGATAACTGCTGGTTGTTACAAAGGTTTCATCCTCTCATTCACATCCAAGAGGAGGGTCTCTGGTTTTCCACAGCTCTTCCAGAAAATAGCAAGGGCCTCACATTAAATTAAATTAGGCCCAAATTAAATCACTGTGCTAATAAAATGAGATTACTCTATTTGGTTCAGACTAGTGTTTTTGTTAATCTAAGGAGTCTTTTTAGACGTTCTCTTCCTAAATACTCCTCCCCATGAAATTTTAATGCCATAGATATTACTGTATGTTTATACACTTTATGCTTTATACATAAAAAAGAGTAAGTTTATTACCCTACCCCCAGAATGCATGGCCTAGACTAATTCAGGATCACCCTTGGAGCTGTGGATTGGGTCAGCTTTCCTTGAAGCACATGTCCATGTGAGGGAGGCATGGATGTGGGTTCTGTTAGGATGGAGAAAGTAGTAAGGAATGAGTAAATTCTAGGTAAGCAAGCAACAGTGGCCACTATTCAAGCTGAGACACAGAACAAGTAATTTTTCTTTCAAGTACTGGTAAGTGGTAAAATCAATTGACCAGGATTTCTGATTTGAACTGCAGTAATCTATCCACTAGAATTCAGTTGTTCATTTTTAGTTTACCTTGGAGGTAACTTCAAAAATGGAGAGGATCTTGGGCATTAGAGTCAGACAGTCATGGGTTCAGTTATTGGTTTTGTACTTACTGGTTGTGTAAACAAGTCACTTGAGCTCTGTGAACTACATTTAATTCCTCTCTAAGAGAGATTATACTTTCTTTATTATCAGGCTGTTAGGAGAATTAAACAAGCTGAACATGTAAAGCAACAAGAATAATGCCTTTGTAAATGTTAGTTCCTTTCCACGACTATTTTCAGTTTTGTTTCTGAATTTTAAGTGAAGGCTTAGGAATTCATGGTCTAAGACATATATATTACTAGAACTTGCAAAACTATTAATTTAAAATTCATCTCCTATTCCCTTTCAAAAGTTGTTTATTTTTTGCAGAATGGATACTGTAGTTAGCATACTTTAGGAACTGTCACATCTGCAAGCCTTATTTGGATATGGTGGCAACTCTACATGTAAGCTCTGTAAAGACTGAAGGAAAAGCATATTTTAAATGGTTTATGATGTGTGCTGTTTGCAGAAAAGCCGAACGTTCAGTATAAAGAAAATTTATGTTGCTCTCAGTTATATGGTTATGACCTGGTCTGCCATTTATGAAAATTAAAAGTAAGATGTTTATGAATGTTCATCAATTCTTTATTTTCTAGGACAAATCTATCAGCACAAGCTTACCTGTCCTAGACTTAATAGATGCCATCGCACCAAATGCAGTTCGTCAAGAAATGATCAAGAGAGAAGACTTATCTGAAGAGGACAAGCTAAACAATGCTAAGTAAGCCTTTTATGGTTGGTTGGTTGGCTTGTGTGTTTGTTTATTTAGTTAGTTATTAGTTTGAGAGAGGGGGGCGGGTAGAGGGACAGGGGCCAAGGGAGAGAGAGAATCCCAAGCAGGCTTTGCGCTCATCATGGACCCTGATGTTGGGGCTCAATCCCATGATCCTGGGATTGTGACCTGAGCCGAAATCAAGATTTGGGCACTGATCCAACTGATCCACCCAGGCGCCCTGCCTTTTATGGTTTAACACAGTGGCTCTTTAATTTCTTAAATCCTTACACATAAGGTTACTATGTCTTTATAACATTTTTAAGTACAACTTAAATGGGGAATATGATTAAAGACTTTCAAACTTAACTTTCTTGTAAAGTTAATCTTATCAAAATATTTCATTCTTTTATTAACATATATTAAGTGAGAACATAGTAGATAACAAATACTAAGATATTTTTCTTGTCGTTTGAAGATACGCCATTTCAGTTGCTCGAAAGATTGGTGCCCGGATATATGCCTTACCTGATGACCTCGTAGAAGTGAAACCAAAGATGGTTATGACTGTGTTTGCATGCTTAATGGGAAAAGGACTGAATAGAATAAAATAATGAGAAACATTTAATATGATTTTCTGCCACATTAAACACATTGAATGCCTCACAGTTTACAGATTTCTGAAATGTAGTGGGTATAAAACCAGAGATTATTTGTATGCTTAAAATAGTTGTATAATTCATTAATGAATTAAATATCTTGTTTCTACTGGTTAGAATCTGTCAACCTTTTTTGGATAACACAGTTAATTTACCAGTAGATACTGATATGTTCATTATCAAGTCGATATTTCATAATTAAATTATTTTCATTTCCTGAAAGTCTTATTAAAAGCAAGACTAATTCATTGTTTTTCATGGTTCAAAAAGATCAATACAAAAATTTTTTGCAGGTCTGCTGTGTTTTGATTTGTGTGTGGATGCGTGTGTGTGTGTGTTAATTTTGATCATAAATGTATTCAAAGTCATAATCCAGTTTATTTTATTTTTTCCTCCAACTATATGAACCTTAACTTTTCTGTAAATTTCTATATGGTCTCAAATTTTTAAGTGACAAGTATTGTTCATTAACATTAAACTTTTTTATATATGAGAACTAACTCTTGAAGAAACCCCAAAGTACATTCTCTTGTATAAGTAGCAGGAGCTTTTTACTTAAAACTTAATTTTAATTGGAGATACTACATATGCTAGTTTGGTAATAGAACTTTAACTATGACATGCAGCATATATGTTGGTAGATTGTTATTACAGAAAGATCTGTGTACATATGTATTTTTTGCATCTGAATTACCCAGGTTTTCTTAAATGGTATATAAAACTAGTCAGTCAGCCAACCATTAAGTGTTTATTGTAGTCCCACGATGTGTGTAACACTTGTCATTATGTAGATATCTGGTACATGAAGATTTCTTTTAGAAATATTCATTTTGGATGTGCATATAGTTATTTTCCAACTGACTTCTTCCACATATTTATAGCAAAAAATTGGCTAGAACATCTCAAGACATGTTGACACTATACTGTTAGCTTCATATTACACATGTTAATTTTGATCTATAGGAAGCCCTAATTTAGAATATGCCCACTGAATATCTTTAGTAGAAAGTAACACAAAGCTAATATTGAACATAGAGTATTTTCAAATGTTTTTTCCACAGCCTCCTACAAATTGGCAGTGTTTGGTTACTGCTTGTGTTACTTGGGAACAACTAACCTTCAGACCTATTTTTGTGTGAATTTTTATCAGTAGACAGATTCTGCTGCTAAAAATTGAATTCAGAAATCTATTTTCTCCATCTTCCACTGTTAGTGTAAGTGAGCAATACTGCTTTGCAACAGAAATGCTGTCACTTTGTCTCAGTGTGAATGAGTAGTCTAAATCCCTCTTCTACCATTGAAAACCATACATGTTGGTAAGAGTGAGACTACTCATGTGTTTAGAATAGAATTTTTTAAATGAAATCAACAAGTGGAACTTTGAAATATATTCTTCTACAAAGAGATTCCCTTTCCTTTTATATTTTAGTGATTGTTTTCTTACATGAAGATTAAGATATGTTCTTGCTCTAAGAAATTAATGTTTTCCCTTTTGATTTTTTTCACCATTATATTTACTAAGTTATCTGATTTACATGAAATTTGGCACTTTAGAGTGTTCTTTTTCTCCTAAAATAATAAAAATTCTGTGTATGTACAAATGTGTCAGTGTTTGTTTCATTTAAAGAATATACAACCTTGAAAATTAATCTATCATAAGTTTATTTTCAAGAAAAGAAAATAACTTTTTTTAATTAGTAAAATAAAATTTGTATTAGATTTTTTGGGGGGAATGAAGGTGGTTCTCTGTTTTGTTTTTGGTTTTCGTTTTTTTTACCAAATCATACTGCCTTCTGGTTCTTTAATATGAAGTTTTTTTTTTTTTTTTTTTTTTTTTTTTCAACGTTTATTTATTTTTGGGACAGAGAGAGACAGAGCATGAACAGGGGAGGGGCAGAGAGAGAGGGAGACACAGAATCGGAAACAGGCTCCAGGCTCTGAGCCATCAGCCCAGAGCCCGACGCGGGGCTCGAACTCACGGACCGCGAGATCGTGACCTGGCTGAAGTCGGACGCTTAACCGACTGCGCCACCCAGGCGCCCCTGAAGTTTTTTAGTAAAGAAAACTGCATTATTACTACAATTTAGTTTGTACTGAAATAATTTGAGGTAACCAGTTCATTAATATACATTTGTTATGAATCAGGTAAAATGCTAGAAATATGGGGATTCAGCTGAGAAAAATATAGACAGTTTCCTGACTTCATAAATCTTGCATCCGAGTGGAGAGAGATAATAAATAGGAATTTTAGGTAGAGATAAAATGCAGTAGGGGAAATAAAATAGTAATGTGATAGAGACTGACTTGGGAACGGGGGTGAAGACTTTTAGTTTGGATGCTCAGGAATGGTCTCTGTAAGGATGTGATATTAAGACTGAAATAGGAATGAGGAGGAGATAGGTGATACATGTTCAGCAGAGGGAACAAAATACAAAGGCTCTGAGCCAGGAAAAGTCATAGGCATTTAAGGAAAAGAAATAGGTAAATATGGCCTAAGAGGAGTGAGGGAGAGGCACAGAGTTTGGAGACGTAGATAGGATCTGTCCTACTTTTAAGACCAGCTCTGAATCTGGATTTTTCTCTTCTCCAACTGAAGTTGTTGGCTCTTCTTTTGTACCTGCAGGTTGTTGAATTGCTGTAAGTAATGTGTTGCTTGTAAATCTTACATGCCATTGTTCCCCATAACTCTGTCATTGATCTTACTATCACCAATGCACAATAAACTCATCATATAGGGGATGTTAAAATACTCCAATTTATGCTGCATAAAATATGTACCAGTGAGGCAAGAGAGAAAAAATATGCTGCATCTGAGATGATTCAAAAAGTTTTCTAAAGAACAGAATGCATTTGCAATACTGGCTTACTTTGAAAAAGGAAAAATCCTCGAATACTTTGCCTCCTAGGATTATCTATGAACATAGGGTGGAATTCCTCTGAATCTAAGAAACTAATCCAGCTGCTGTGAGAGTTCTTATGGATGAGAAATCACAAACCCAGAAGCTTGAAAAGACCAGATTAAAATGTTTTTTATACTTTTGAACCATCTGAATTTTTACCCTCCAACACTCTGGAACTTTTGGATGGATCAGGGTTAGAGTTGTTCTGCTGAGTAAAAATTTTACTAGACTATGAAGACTGTAACTACATATATAAACAAAATGTGTAAGTAAGCACGTATATATAAACCCACATATGTATTTCTGTGTTCAGTGGCCACAAATTAACACTGAAAAATTTTGATATTCCACCAAATATACAAACTTGGAAACGGTATAGAATGAGGGAGATTTGTGATAGAGATAAGCTAAAATGATTCAATAGATAATCGGCCATTTTGGAGTAAACACATGACAATGTTTGGAAAGGTGGCCAATCTTGTCATCTACCTAGGGCCTCTTAGAGAACATCTAAATAAGACTTTGAATGGTAAGAAAGATTTATATTTAGAAAATTTGGTAGTGTTGGCAAGAACAGATATAGAGCAAATCAACCTGAATAGAATAGGAAGTACTTCCCTCAAATATAAGATATTCTGAAGTAAATTTATGTATTGGCTTTAAAAACCTAAAGCACCAAGGGCACAATTTTGATTTTTGTATAGTTGTTGTGAGAAGCAATAAGAATTATTCAAGAGATATAATTTGTAGTTTTACCCCCTAGTTTTAAAGGTGAAAAAATCTACTTTTTCAAAGCAGTTTAAGACGAATTTTTAATGTTTATTTTTGAGAGACACAGAGAGAGAGAGAGATGGGGGGCGGGGAGTAGAACGAGTGGGGGAGGGACAGAGAGAGAGAGAGAAAGGGAGACATAGAATCCGAAGCAGGCTGGGCGCTGTCACCCCAAAGCCAGACTTGGGGCTCAAACCCACCAACAGTGAGATCATGATCTCATGACCTAAGCGGAAGTCAGACGCTCAACGATTAACAGACAGCTACCCAGGCGCCCCCCCCCGCCCGCCCCCAGCCTCGAATCTGCTTTAAATAAGTTTGCTTTAAAAATAATTATTCAGGTAGGTAGTACTTCAGTTAGCGCTTCAGTCAGCTTTTGCTCAACACACATTTATAAAATCAAATTTATAAATGTGAAGACAAACCTCTGGAAGGACTGTAATTAGAGTAGATCCTAAAAATATGCTTATCCAATGGTTACGTGTTGGTACACGTGAATTACATGTGAATAAAGGTATACCATCAGGAATGTTATGCCAATTTTATATCACAGACAAGTTGTTAAAAAATAGTCTAGAAATGAGTATAGCTAGCCCAAACACACAGACAAGGTCAAGTCCGGTGGCGTGGCCAGGCAGAGGACCCAAACACGAAATATTCAGACAATTCCATAGGCGGGGTCGACTAAACGTTAAGTCGTCAGAGGCTCAATTAACCATACCCATGCGTATTTATGTGCAGCAGGAGACGGTAAATTACCTCAAATCAGAAACCCAGGTGTGGGGAGGACGCACTGGGGTCTTCGCCTTTTCCTTAGCAATTAGAAGCCTTCAGAGGCCGCAGCTGACAGACGAGGAACGGGGGGCGGGACGCAATAGACCCCGCCCCCACAACAGGCCCCGCCCACCACCGAAACCACCCCGTTGTCGTCGCTATAGCGGAGCGGAAGATGACGTGAGGAGAGTCGCGAACATCTCCAGGCGCAGCTGGGCTGGCGGTTCCCACATCCCGGGAGCCCGACGTGCGCAGAATCGCTCTAGGAGCTCCTTTCCCACAGATCTCTCATCCTCCTCCCGGGCCGGGCCGCCCCCCGCGCGGCCCCTGCGGCTCCTGGGACGGCCCCGCGCTCGGCTGCCGCCCTGGCGCGCGCCACTCTGTCGTCCCCGGAGGGGCGCGGACCGGCTCGGCCCGGGCGCCGGAGGCTGGGGAGGGGGCGCTGGCCCCGGGGCCGCGCATGCGCCGCCACCAATCTGGGGCTGTCGGTGGAGGGCGAGTGCTGCTTTCGAGGGGAGGCGACGCCCTTTGGGGCCAACGGGCCGCGCGCTGAGGCGGCTGTGGGAACGACTCATCCCTTTTCCAGCCCTGGGGCGGGGCTGGGGTCGGGGTCGGGGCTGGTGGGGGCCCCGCCTCCGTCTCCTGGCCTGCCCCCTTCATGGGCCGCGATGATGGCGGCCCTATACCCGAGCACGGACCTCTCGGGCGCTTCCTCCTCCTCCCTACCTTCCTCCCCATCCTCCTCTTCGTCGCCGAACGAAGTGATGGCGCTGAAGGATGTGCGGGAGGTGAAGGAGGAGAACACCCTGAATGAGAAGCTTTTCTTGCTGGCGTGCGACAAGGGTGAGAGCTAGGCCCCTTTCTCCACTTCAGGGCGCCCCTGCCCTGCACACCCTTCGCCCTCTCCCCAGCCTCACTTTGGGGCACTCTTTCCTCACGCGCCGAGCGTCTGTACCCGCCGCGTCCGTTGTCTCGCCCGGGCCACCCGGCGCCGCCTCTGAGAGTGGAGCTGGCGGGCGGGAGCAGCCGGCGAGCAGCCCTCCGAGCGCCGCACCTGGGGCGGCGGTTCTGGCCGTGGCCTCCCTTTGTGGGGTTCCGTATTTAGGTAGCGATGTGGGAACCCAGACCCTCGGGTTTTAGCCCCCGCCTCTGCTACTAACCCCCTGAATGACTTGGTCTCCCTCTCGGGGCTTCTGTTCTTTCTCTCTGGAAGCCCAGAGGGTTTGTCTAGTTTTGGATCTTCTAGTCCGAAAATTCCATGACCTTGTTTAAGGTTCCTCGTGTTTATGGGCTCTCAGCTATACTTGTATTATTTAGCTTCAGCCACCCAGTGCCTTGGTATTCATTGACTGTTGAATGGCATTCGGTATGTCAATATCCTAGGGGGAGATAAAGACAGGCGTGGAGAAGTTATGCCTTAGTGCCAAACTTTTTTTTTAATTTACTGTACTTTGTTCGTGCTTTTCATTGGAGAAGAAAGTTTATTGCTCCTGAGTCGTCTTCGGGGAAAAAATGGTAGTGCAAAACAATTACAGGGCAAAAATGTGAAATATGTTTAATGAGTTTTCTTTAAAAAGAAAATAAAAACCTAGAAATCAATTGTTTTCATGGCCATAATAAAATCTCTTCATTTAAACATGCTTTCTGGTGGTACGTATAATAATAGGAATGGGAAATTGCCCTAAGACAGCTTTTATTTCCTACATGTAAGAAAGAGCTGTGATTTTTCTCTTTCTAAATTTATTAAGTTGCCTTACAATGGCCATGCTCACTTAGGCACACTGTTTAGGATCATGCACACTTCCAAAACATAAACCCAAAGAGCAGCTTACACTGTGAAAGGATTAACTACAGAGGATTTTTTTTTTGTCTGTGTGTATGAGCGTGTTTTTAATAAATCACAGCCTCTCTAACCTCTTACCACTTTTGAAATAGGATTTTATTTACACAACTTTTTGAAAACACATTGACATGTAAACAAAGTCTACCTATGTGTGTTGTCAGACACTTTTACGTTCTTATGTAATAGTATTAAATTAGGAAAGCCTTTGTTAAAGTCCACCATGGACACAGCTTTGAATAGTCTTGGAAATGTAAAGAAACATAGGATATATGTTTATAACCTCACAAAAGTCATTGTCGATTATGTAAAGTTACTTAGTATTACTGAAGTGGGTTATCTGAGTTCTCCCAGAGGGGAAGGGACAAGATTGTGTTATACTAGAATGAGTAAGTGGCTGCTGCATCTACCCCAGCTTACTGAGCTGTGGTTATTTTAAAGCAAGCAAAGTATGTCAAGAAAGGGCATTTAATGTTGCTGTCAAATTGAGGACAGAGGAATGCCATATGTGGTTGGAGTAAGTACTTATATGTATATTTAGAATTATTGCATGGTATACCTCAAATTAAAGTTTTAATATGTAATAGTTTTGAAGCCTATCTAGTAGTGTCAGTTGAAATAGCTTCCAATTCTTTGTCAGTGTCCCATTTTGTAAAATCATTAAGATTCTTGGGAGAGGTTTGGATTTTTGGGGCTGGGGTGAAAAGTAAATAAGCATGCTTTTTTTTCCCCCTCTATAATAGAGACAAAAAAATTTTTTTTTTGCTTATCCCAAGCAGGCTCCATGCTATCAGCACAGAGCCCGATGCCAGGCTTGATCCCAGGAACTGTGAGACATGACCTGAGCTAAAATCAAGAGTCTGCTGCTTAACCAACTGAGCCGCCCAGGCACTCCTAGAATTTTTTTAAATGAGTGCAATTAAATAGGTATTTTCTGTTTCAGGTGTGTTAAATTCTTGGCTTAGATTTGGAAAAAATGGCTTAAATTACATATATTTATGGTATGTTTACATTGGAAAAATAAACTGGAGTTACAGCAGTGCTTTTTTGTTTACATGTTTGTATTCACTAATAGTGTTAAACTTTTAGTGTACCTGAACCAAATCTAAAAGTGAGAAGTTTGCTGAAGTAGGTATAGCTTCCACTGTTGGAGCTTTCACCAAATCAAATGGCAAACATTTACTAAAACAGCCATTAGGGTAGATTGCATATACTTTTCAAAGATGATTTCATTTCATCCTGACAACCCCATTAGCCAAATCTCTTGTTATACCTATTTTACAAATGAGGAAAATGAGGCTTAGCAATGTTTTAAAATCACTTTGCCCAAGGTTACATTAGCTAGGAAATGGTAGAATTGAGATCTATATTGAGCCTCCGCTCTTAGCCACTGTGTTACATTAATCTAGTTGTAGCTGAATGAATGAAAATAATTCGTATTAGAGAAGACATCTAAATTTGGACTTGTTAGTTAATGATTAAACTTGATCTCCTATGAATGTTTTATAAACCTTTTTTCTGTGGATTCTGTTTATCCAATAAAAGTAAAAAGCTGTAATAGCACTAGAACAGATCCATTCTAGAATATCTATATTTATCTTCCTTTTCATTTAGCAATCCTACTCTACATGTACAAAATGATTATAATATTTTCCACTTAGGGAGAATTCCTAAAAGATAAAGTGGTCATTGTGTATGTTAGTGGGTGGGTGGCTTTTTGAAAGGTCTGTACAGATTGAAGAGCAAAGAAAAAACGTAGGAAAGAAAAAGATTTTATGTTTGATTTTATAGTTTGTATAGCTGGCTTTTATGTAAATGAGCTCAATAGATACAGGCAAGTGCTGATCAGGTAGTGGCTACTTAATAGTGGCTGTTATTTATCTTGAAAGTAGGTCAGAAGCATGTATCATTGGTTCTTTGTGTAAAATTTAGAAGAAAAAGTCAAAGTTCCTGTACCAGTGACATCAAGTTAAGTCTGTTCTCACCCCCCCCCCCACCCCGTCCCTAGTAAAATTCTCAGCAAGCACACTCATATTCTTTATAGACAGAATGCTGCAACTCAGGTGAAAGTTAATTGAAACAAGGGCTGGCTATTTTATGAAATATTAAGCAAGATTCTTATCACCTGCCCCTTTCCTCTCTCTTTGAGAGTTAATGTGATAATGAGCCACTTTTATTTGTGGAGCCTGTGGTTTACTCAGGCCTGCTGGCTGGAGAAAGGGTTAATTTGTTTAGGCTCTTTTAACGCAACTGGAGAGGATGGTAGCTTTTAGTATGCATTCATGAGCTAAAGCATGTATTAACCCTTTAATGTGCTGACGATCAGTTCTTGTGCAGAAAAATGGAGTGATGAAAAGACCTTAGTCTGGATTCATTCCCTGTCAGCTTCCCATGAAGGGTATTTTCAGGAAATTCTATGTGCAATTAATGAGTCAGGATGCCCTTCTTGAAATTTCAGTATGGGGGCACAGGAGGGATGGAGAGAGCTGTCCTTGGGCTCAATCTAAAGTCTTGGGTCACCTTTGTGATAGGATTTTGCTGCATTGTGTGGGAGGGTGCCTTGATGACTGAATGCTTACACGAACTTTGCATGCGTTTGGGCTAAGCATGCTTTTAAGATGGGTGACATTTTTGGGAGAAGTAATACCAAGCTGCCGTATTAATAACACCTTAATATATTTAATGGGGCTTTTTTTTTTTAGCTTTTTGATGTAAAATAAATTTTATATAAACTCATAAAGGATATAAACTAAAGTTTTATTCACCTGGCAGCATCACTGTGAATTGGGTCTCAAGTCATGTACCAGACTCTCATTACAAAGTAAACATTGCTTCTAATTGTTTTTCTAATGGATTCAAGAATATACTGTTAATAATTCTTAATTTATCAACTCACTATTAAAAAATGTATCACCTTCTATGCTGTATAATTTTTTCCTATAGCAGATTGAATCTTTTTTGCCAGATGATATTCATTATCATTAATAGTCTTCATTAACAGTCATAAATGACTAAGAAATTACAGTAATTTCTTTTTTAAAAATATTCAAACATACCATATATATGAGTATCTTTAATTTTGAAGGTTTCACTTATAACAATATGATTACAACTCATGGGGGGCATCTATGATAAGTAGTGGGGTTTGCACATTTGGGTAAAACTACATTTTTTTAATAAGTTTATTTTTAGAGAGAAAGAGAAAGAGAGTGCATATGCACGTGCCTGAGCGGTAGAGGGGCAGAGAGAGGGAGAGAGAATCCCAAGCAGGCTCTTCACTGTCAGCATAGAGCCCGACTTGTGGCTCGAGCCCACGAACCATGACCATGAGATCATGACCTGAGCAGAAGTTGGATGCTTAACTGAATGAGCCACCCAGGTGCTTCTGGGGAAAACTACATTTTTAAGTCATCTCCACTGTAAAAGTCTTGTGGGTATTTTATTTTTTTAAGATCTGGTTCAAGCTAATTTGAAGTTTGCTATAGAATTAACATTTTAATCAGTGTTGTCACTATTTGTATTTATAGATCCAGTAACTGAATTTGATCATGTCTTTGTATTTTTTTACTTCGTCATTTTTTTCCTTTTAATAAAATCTTTTAAGTGTCTTCAGTTAATAGTTCAATTTCAGTGCTGCTGTTGAGGGGCGCCTGGATGGCTCAGTCGGTTGAGTGTCCAGCTTCAGCTCAGGTCATGATCTCACACTTGAGTAATTCGGTATCAGGCTCTGTACTGCAACTCTCGAGCCTGGAGCCTGCTTCAGATTCTGTGTCTCCCTCTCTCTCTGCTTCTCCCCTGCTCACACGGTGTCTCACTCTCTCAAAAATAAATAAAGATTAAAAAAAAATTTAAAAGAATGCTGTGGTTGACACACTCAAAAAGTTTGTTACAGAAACTTGGTTTCAATAGCTTTACAATTTTTTTTGATAAATTCTCCCATACTTCACAACTAACTGAAAAATTAGGATCACCTGAGATCATTATTGTCGGTATGGGATGGTGG